GCGATGGCTCCAACCTAAGAGCGATGGCCTCCAACCTAAGAGCGATGGCCTCCAACCTACTAGCGATGGCCTCCAACCTAAGAGCGATGGCCTCCAACCTAAGAGTGATGGCTGCAACCTAAGAGCGATGGCCTCCAACCTAAGGGCGATGGCTCCAACCTAAGAGCGATGGCCTCCAACCTACTAGGGATGGCCTCCAACGTACTAGCGATGGCCTCCAAATACACTCCTTGAAAGAATCATGGTTACGTGGATGGCGTGGCACCGATTTTAGGGACTGTACTCCAGGTATTCTTGTAGAAACAGGGGTCCAGCTGGGCTCAACCAATCCCCTCCGTGTGTCTACCTCACAGCGACCCAGATACGTTACATGACATATCATAAGATACCATATAATCGATATAATATATATACACACACACACACTCATTCTTCGAGAAGAAGAAGCAACCACACTGGGAACCTGTCGTATGTGTTGGGTGAGGAGGAAAGCTGTACACAAACATCATGGTGCACTACTTGATGATCTGAACAATCCCGGTTCATCCTGAGTGTCAATGTGGCCACAAAACATGGGCAGTGGTATACACTTCCAACAAGACACATCCGGTGTTTCAAGGCCAAATTCCAACAAGTGTCACTTTGGAAAGGAAGCCAAGATCATCTTCTGTGGTCATACTTCCCCGGAGGGTGGTTAGCTAAGTGGTTAGCTAAGTGGAGCTAAGTCTAACTTGGACTTATAAGTAATTATAAAGTAAGTACTTAGCTTCGAATGGGACAAACTGTCGGACAAACCAACAAGAGACCTCTGTTGAACCCGTTCGGATCCAGACACCCCAACGTCCGGCTCGTGGGTTTTTGGGTGGTCGCATCGGGAGCTCGTGGGAGCATGGTCCATGAGTCCATGGCCTTCAAATCACCTTCCCAAAAAAGAACAGTGGCAAGGAGCGTTGGCCTCCACCCCAATAGCAATGGCCTCCAACCTACTTGCGATGGCCTCCACCCCAATAGCAATGGCCTCCAACCTACTTGCGTTAGCCTCCACCCCAGTAGCAATGGCCTCCAACCTACTTGCGATGGCCTCCACCCCAATAGCTAAATGTAGAGTTCAATCACCTGAACCAACGCTTTCACGAAGAGGGTCCCTTGGCACTGCTTGAACTCCTGTTCCCGTGGGAAGACCGTGACATCGGCAGACCCAGCCTCTTCGGCCGCCTGGCAGAGGCGAAAGTGGGGCTCGGCAAAGAAGAAGACCGAGAGCGACATGTGAATCAACTGGTGCAACCTCAATCCGTTGGGCTCGGGCTCGGCTCCGCCGCTCCGCGCCGCTCCGCCCGGAAAAGAGAGGTGAATCGGATGGTGGATCTTTCACTCAGCCCATCGAACATCGGAACATCCAATCGTCCTCCCTTGGTGGTGTGATGGGCCGGTGTGTGGCTCGAATTGTTCTTACCCTAAGAATCCTTGGGCTCTCCATGGTAGGGGTCGGACCCTCCATAGCAGGGGTCTGGGCCCTCAAAACCCTATCTGTTTGAGGGCCCGGATTCTTAGGGTAATCTTGAAAATCAACGTGAAATCACTCAGGCTTTTGGGGCTCGTCCGTTCTGGATGGTCCAAGGATTCTTGGGGTCATCTGGCAACGGGAAAACGAGCACTTCAGATCTTGGTCCAGCGCCGCGCCGTTTGCCCGTTGATATATCAAATCAGAAGTGCGATCTGAACACGAAACTTGGATCAGAAGTGCGATTCTTGTCCAGATTCTAGGTCCCATTGATCAGTTCAACGAAACGAGATTCACCAGGTCTTGACTCGGCACTTGGAGGGACAGAGATGGACAGCGAGACCTGTCTTTGGGAGCGCTCTGCGTCAATTCCAAGACCCTAGGGATCGAGTCGTACCTTGTCAGAAGGTGATGTGTTCGACACTCTTATGTAGGTGCCAGGAGGGTCCAGTCGTACCGAACCTGAGGAGAAGGTACGACTGGATCCCGGGAGAGAAAGGCAGTTACGGAAGTCTCCCTCCCTCCCTCCGTTCACAGCCCGACCCGGGTCCCTCCAAATCAGGACCGACGTCCGACCCCTCCCAAACGATTCGGGTCCGACCCGGGCTATATGGAAAAGAGATCTAGTTGGATAACGACCTTCTTCTTTGGGCGTTCCAACTTGCTTGGAAACCGGGATTTTTCGCACACCGTCCCAGTGCAGTATGAAAAACGTCTCTCCGGATGAGGTTGAGGCCTTATCTGATGAGACCGAGCAGAACCACCCAAACTGAAAAAGAACATGCACAAAAAAAAAAAAACTCCCCTCCCATCATGTCACTCTTTTTGGCGACCGAGTAGCTGGTCCTCACCCAACTTATGTCGACTCACGAATTCATGAAGCGCCTCGTGTCGGGCGGAATGCGGCTCCGGCTCCTCTGGGCGCTGGAAACCCCGGTTTGAGTGGATGTGGTTCGGTTTGAGGATTTAACCAATGTTTCGGAACTCCACGAGGAGGGGAGCCGGGAGGGGAGCCGACATCGGACGAGCGGGGCCGGCCAGCGAGACCCCGTGGTCATGTTTATCATATAGATGGTTCCTTTTCAATCAAAACATCTGAAAAGCACCGGATTCTGCTCTCTGCCATCGTGTTTTTTCCTCTTCAAAGTTCACCAGGGGCGGGTCCTGAAGCCGTGCAGGTTCCCTGCTCAAACCAAGAAGCCGTTGACTCCTCGTCGGGCAGGTGGACCACGTCGGGACGAACGTCGGCAGTCGGATCCGGCGTTCTCCGAGATTTGCTGGTCAACCACCTGGAACCTGAATGACCTCTATTTTGGACCACCAACCACCCCAAATATGGCCTTTTCCTATCAAAACAGGGGTCAATTGGGTTCTAGGCATGCAAGGAGATTGAGATGACTCCTGAGAAGACCCTTTCTTCTGCAGTTGGACCCGCTTTTTGGGATCAAATCAGCATGGCCAGCATGGCACTTCGTCGGACCCTTCCCGACAGGCGGACGAACTCATGCAGCTTGCGAGCGGCGCGAAGCTCGTTTCGCCCGCGCTCGTTTCGCCCGTGCCTGCATCAGGTCGGCAACTGCCCCACACAAAGTGCTGCCCTCTTCTGCACCTGCGATTGCGCCACGCCCTGCCGTCATAGATCACGAGCCCCAAAGAACAGTAGATCCTATGAGGCAAAGGGTTCATCCATGAGAAACGTGCGTAGCTCGCATGTCAAAAACATCTCAAAACCCGGTCATGTCGACGACGGGTTTCTTGTTCTTCGTCACGAACCGGTCGTCGCATCGGTCAAGTACGTGCGGTCGTCGGTTTGTGAAGAATCCGTGCGTCCCCATCTCTCGTCTCTCCGTCGAGACCGCTCATCGTCGACGTCGCTAAGGGCCCGCGGGGATCGTTGGAGCGAAGCGAACGTACGTCGACTCCTGGCTGGGCATCCATGCTGAACGGCAAGTCGCCTGCGACTTGGTCATGCGTCCGGGCCGACATGGACCCGACGTCATGGATGAGGTAGAACGCAGCACCATGCGGATGAAGACGCCAGCCCAAGAAAACCACTTAAAAAAAGAAAGCAAATGGGCTCTCATAAGATCTCAGAGCAATACTAAAAGCGTCTATATATATAAAATACTGAAACTTCTAAAACCATCTATAGATGCAGAATTGTGTGTTTTCTTTGGGACATTGAGATGGAAACAAATCACCTCCCGGGCCAGCTCAAATATTGAAAGGAAGAACTGTAATGTGCGATGTGCGATGTGAACTAGTTGGTCGAGGCTGACATGACTCTAGGGAATGCCAATTGTATCCAGTTGTTGCTTGTTGTCACCTAGTGATCACCTCACACACGCACTACATCACACTGTAATTACTAACCACCTCAATCCGCCTGCAGAAGACTGCTTGGTACAGGCCACAGTCGTTTGTTGCGACGTGTGAGAAACGGCCAAAATCCCTGAGGTTCGTATCCAGCAGCTACAAATCAGCAGTTTTGAGGTACGTGTCGGCCTGTACCTCTCGGATGAGCGTTTGTGAGTTACGCCATCCCTCATCAACAGCAGCAAACATTTCGACGAAACATTATGAAACCATACGAAACCAACATCTTCAGCACTTCAAAGCCTCATCGGAGAAGCTGCCCCACAAAACTCCGTGAAGCACTGGTTGCCATGGTCCGTCTTCCAATTCGATTTCTTTGTCCCTCTCCCTCCCAGTCCCTCTTCTTCGCCGCACCCCAAATCGGCCTGTATCATGTTGCGCCCCTTTGCGGCTCCTGCAGAAGGCTTGGAGGAAGAATCGTGGTTCCCAACTGGTCCCCGAGGAGCTCCATCCAAGCAAGGGGAAGAGCAGTTGAAGAAAAAGATCGACAAGTCGAGATCCTTTTTGGGCAGATCGGGATGGGCGAAGAAACCGGAACACACCATTCGAAGCGCATCATAGACCTGGGAGATCAACCTGGTGCAAGGGGCGTGACCCACAGCCACTCACGTCGAACATCCATGCACCGTGCGGGGTTCGAAGCGCCTTCGAGCGCTTCAAAAAAGAGCCATAAGTCTTCGAGCGCCTTCGTCCCGCGCAGTTCACCCCAAGAAGTGGACCAATTCCATTGGGGAGCCACGGAACTGCCGCGAAAACATGACAGCGGTCGAGTTCGACATAGCTTGACATCTGGAACATGTGAAGCTTCGATCCCATCGCTCTTAGGTTGGAGGCCATCGCAAGTAGGTTGGAGGCCATAGAAGCGTCGACCACTTTCACCCCTTTTGCATCCTTTCACATCCGCGGCGGGGGTTCAGAGGCTTTTTCGATGTGTTCTGGACATTCCCCAGTATTTTGCAGGTCAGATCGCTGGGTCAAAAGAAACACCTGGAGGGCATCGCTGCGTTCGTTTGACCCCGCTGCGTTCGATTGCTCACGTGCGACCAACCCGGCTTCGCGTGACACGACACGGAGGACACGACCGGCGGTGCGGTCTGTCCAGCCGACGCATGGGCCCACCGACGAGTCGCGAAGACGAGGTCGTGACGCTGCGGTAAGTCATGCACCTGGTCTCGAAAGACATGGAGGTTTTCGGTTTGGGACCACCAGAAATGAGACGAACAAGGGGTAAGAGCGGCAGTAAGAGCGGCACGACAGTCGCATGCTAAAGCATGCTAAAGTGCTGTAGTCGTACCACTTGACATGTAGCAAGCACTGGGAGTTCCTCAGCCTGTCATCCACACCTAAGCCCGTCCGCACCAAAACTCGTCCAGCTGGCCGTTGCCTTTCATCTGAGGACAGCATGGGAGTAATTGCCTGTCGAAAGTCTGCTGACCTACTCCACAAGTCTTCGAAAGTCAGAGCGATGGCCTCCAACCTAGAAGCGATGGCCTCCAATACTGTAATTAATGTCGACATCGTATTAATCAACGGGCCCCCCCCTAGAAGGTCAACAAGGTCAACAAGGTCTGAGATTGGAAGTTTTGGAGATCACATCCCCCTAATAGTGGGGATGACCTGATGATGAAAGGGAATTAGTATTTGGAAGAATTGGAATGAAAGGGAATTAG